AAAGTAAACGAAGAAATATAGTTAGTCCAACTAGCTCGAATTAAGAAAAAATATCTACTTCTACGAGCTGGTCTAATGTTGGATATCACATGGCATTTAGGCCATTTTTGTAATACGCACTGAACGAAAGTATTTAAAGTGATAGAAATAAAGTAAAATATAATACCTGGGGTAAAATAAAAAAACGTAAACTTGTTTTAGTTTATCTGATATATTACATTTGAATATTTAGACAAGAGATGATAAAAAATTTCGACGAGAACTTCAGGGACTATCGATGCCATTTCCTAAATGTAAATGTCAATGGATTGGACTTTTCAAAGACTTGATGGTAACACTTTTTCGTATGAATCATGATTATTCATTTTTTTTAAGAATGGTTTGAGAAACATCGTCTAGAAAACTCCAAAAGACGAATGGTTTGTTGTCTAGTGAATTTTATAGGATGTTTGAATCAAATATTCATCATTTTTAGTACTTCATTGTAGAGAACATTTTACCTTATAAAATTTAATTTTATATTCAAATCTTTTTTATTTTAAAAACTTTGAATTTTTTCCTTAACCTTACTTTTCATGTCTTTTGTTTAACTCATTGAAGATTAGAAAGGAATATTTGATGTGGGAGGAAGTGAGACTATGGAGTTTGGAGAGTTAAAATGAGGGTGTGTATAGGTGTAGGTGCAATAAATCACACTCACACTTTTGTAAATAAAAATCTTTTTCGAGTTGATTTGAGTTTTTGTTTACTTCTTTCAAGAAACAGTTTTAACTACTATGTGAAAAAAAAGAAAAGTGTCATTGCGAATCATTAAAAGAGAGAATATTAATATTAGAAATTTTCAAAGATATTCTTCCCATGTATGTTAATCGTTTTAGTCGATAGAATTGTTACAACAGAATCAATAACATAATATGTATTTTTAAAAAATCTAATATAAAAATCATTTAGAACAAGAATAAAATACAACAATAAACTGAGAAAAGCAGAAAAAAGTGATAAAATTTATAAATTAAAAGTTGTTTGCTAACTTTCTAATACACAGTTATCCTTCTTTACAAACTATAGCTACATACACACAATTACTCTTTTTTTCTTCAGAGGTAGAAATACTGTTTTCTCTTAAATGTTGTTAGAATGGATAATATTGAAGGAAGATGAGTTTTATCTTCGTCGACATTGATTTGTCTAAGGGTAAATATTTCAACTGTAAAACAAGATATTTCACAACTTCATAGTTTTTAATTAGATACTCATACTTGCATAAAAGTCTTTTAATGTTGTTCTTTTTCCTCATGTTTTGTTTTTTGAAAAGAGAAAAATGAACCTTTTCTATTGATAATCGAGAATTTTCATTGTTTTGGAAATGCAATGGGTTCTTTCATTTTCATACTCTTACAAAATTTTCACCATTACAACAAACATATTTTACGAAGTCTTGCGATTAAATTTTACGTTTGTTTTGTGTGCACAGTAACACATTTAATACCTCGTCATTGAATGTAGCAGTTTTTTTTATCTAACGTCGGTGTGCGTGTGGATCTTCTCTTCGTTCGAAATCACATCCACCTACATCCCACACTCCACACCCTTAATTTAAGCAAAATTTTCTATATTATTGTACTAAGCTTTCGATATAAAATCAGTTGCTGAAAAGCAAGAGTTGAGAACAGCAGATTGATTTGTATACCAGATATATAAGTCGATATGTTTGCCATTTATTTATGTACACCCCTTGTCGATGATTTCTTTTTTTTTTGCTTAGTTATTTCGTTATTGCATCGTTCTGCTTATTCAAATCTTTAAGTAATTCTAATTCTAGTTGATTTCGTACTGTTTTGCATTTATTCCGTTTTCTATTCATATACTTATTATTGTTTTACTTGTTCTTCAGTTATATTACCTCATTTGATTAAACTTTCTATCGAATCAACTCCATCTTCTTCATTCCAAATGTCTCATTGGATTTGATTCGTTTCAACTCATATATACATCTATATGGATGTAATATGGATACATAGAAGGAACACAATCTCAAAAATGGATGAAAGATACAAACAGTCAACATAAAATATCAATAGAATACATTGAAATCTTCTAAATCTAGTATAACTATTCTCAAAAAACAATAATTACTAAACACCCGATCAATCGGCTACCAACAACAAAAACACATTCTACACCGACGATCGGTAATAGTCTTAGACGAAATCGTAAAAGTATGCTTTTAGTGGCAATCCAGTAACTATTTTAGAATAAAGATCAAAAAATGAAACAGACAATAAATTCAATCTGCACGAACAGATCAGAGCTGTCAGCCTGGCCTGGTAGCCTGGCCTGCTAGGCCAGCTTGAATTTTTCAATTTTCTCCTGGCCTGCTTTTAGCCTGAAAATTCATGACCTGGCCAGCAGGCCAGATCAGGCTAAACTGTTGGCCTGATCAATTTTTTTGCATGAGATGTTAGATTTAACTCGTTCAAAACTTAGATGTCGTTATAAACCAAGTGAAGTGAAACTAAAATTGAATTATTAATGATTGGTTGATGGTTACGCCAACACACACAATAAAAGACAATAGCTGAAATTAAGAAAATAAACACACATTTGTGAATGCATTATGCATTTATGAATTCAAACAATATGAATCAAGTACCCAATATCAATAGGCCCTTTAAATTGTTTTAGATTTTTTGCATTATGGAGAATCACATTATACATTCAAATTCAGTTAATAACAAATATTCTACATTATCGTCTACCACTTTTTCATCAACCTTGATCTCACCAACTATTGATACTTCATCATCTTCTATTTGTAATATTTATACAACGATTGCCAAAGGTACTAACAGTTTACTGTCATTCCCTTCTTCAATATTAATTTCAGATTCAACAAATACAAATGATTCACCATCATCATCTTCTATTTCTGTATTGACAAATAATGATGCAAATGTTCCACCATTACATATTTCTTCATCCACTAATCTCAATATATCGAATTCATCATCATCAGAATCGTCATCTGCATGCACGAGCGACAAAACACGATTTCTTTTAAAAAATGAAAAAAAACAGATACGACGTTATCTCAAATAAAGCTCAATCAGCTAAGGCTCCACATTGGTTGAAGTTTGGGTTTCCAGCAAAATTGAACGAAAAAACTGGTATATTCGAAAGAATTGTCGGTTTTGCCAGTTGTCATGACTGCAAGAAAACGTTTGTATATAACTCACATAGTGGAACTACACATTTAAAAACACACTTATGTACATCAAATGTAACTCGAACGTCGATATCATCTTCAATGAAACAGCCAACAATTGAACAAAGTCTTACTATTCATAAAGATTTAACTGCCGACCAGTCGACAGCTATTAAAGATTTAATTGCACGTTGGATATGTACTGATATTCGTCCATTTGGTATAATAGAGGATGATGGACTAGACAACTGATACAAGAATGTGTAAAACTTGGTATGTGCTTTGTTTTCTCTGTATATTTTTTTTCATATGTATGTTTAGGAAGTCTTTATGGTAACATAGATGTTGATAATATTCTTCGAAGTCGAAATACTATATCAAATCATATATATAAACTTGCTGATGTATCTCGTCAACAAATCAAGTTAATATTACAGGAACCATATGAAAGTGGATGTTTATCAATATCTCCAGATTTTTGGAGTGATAAGTATCGGCAAATATCATACCTTGGCGTTACTGCAACATTTACTGATTTCAATTACCATTATCACACAATTGATCTTTTATGTCGACCATTTGGAAGACCTGATAAAAGTAGTACTAATGTATTAACGGTATATTTCAGTTTTATTTCTAAGAACACTTTGTCATCATTTTGATTTTGTTTTTTTTCTTTTAAGCCCCCCCCCCCCCCCCCCTCAAAAAATCCATTTTTTGGTAAAGTAATCGAAATCGAGTTTTTATCATAGGAAGATGCAGCGAACTTTCCTCTTTCAGAATATATATAAATTTTTTAAAAAAGGCCAAATTTTTACAGACTTTCATAGGAAATTTCTACCTCACTACTCGGTTTTCAGCGAGATTTTCGCGGTTTTTGCTATTTTTGGAAAGACTATTTTTTTTACTTCTATCACCATGGAATAAACATTCATATATCATATAGTACGACCCATAGTGCTAGCTTACCCCATTTATTGCGTGCTTTCAAAAATTCCACATAAATATTATCAATATACCATTATTTCCTGCATTTGAATGAAAAAATCCATTTCTAAAACTTCTTCAGCGTTTTTCTCAAAATGGTGGTCAAATTACGCATACGCACCGAAAGTCAGTTATTACCCGATATAAAGTCAAATATTTTTTTTTTGTTTGAAAGAGCATGTCAAGATGCAGTGCCTCTGTGAGGGCCCTTTTTTTGATAAAGCTTTCTTATTATTATATTGAAAAGCGACTTCATAATATAAGCATGATTTTTTTGAGGGATTTTTAAGTCATTGAGTTTATGAAGCTTTTTTTTCTTTATAAAGATATGAGTTTGGAAAAAAGGGCCCTCAGAGGCACTGCATCCTGACATGCTCTTTCATATGAAAAAACGATGAACCAAATTGAATGAACACCCATCGAGATTTCGTGCGTATGCGATAAGCTATTTTTCGACCCTTGTTTAGTTCGTAGGTACCTTATGCATTAGGATAGGACGCTGAAAATTTTATCACAGACATACTTTTACATCCCCAACATATCCCCAAAGTTTCATGCTATCACGATGTTCTAGAGCTGAGATCGAATTTTGAGGGGGGGGGGGGGCCTTAAACAATGCAAAAATAAAGAATTTTGTATC